CTGTTGGATATATGCAGAAATGATTCACCCTCTGTGTTGTTGTTTTTTAGTTTGTTCTTTATTGCATGTTTCACTTCATTATGTAACGTCCATAATACATCTGGTTTATTACAATAAAGTTATTAAGATGTTAATACTTAAATTATTTGTCCTGATATGATGTTTTCTGCATAGTTATGAGGAGCAGAGCAGAATATTTATAGGCTGTCAGTGTGTTGCCTCTCAGATGACTCAAACTTAAGAGGTCATGGATGCTTGCATTCATTCATCAACTAGACACACACAGCAAGGGTCGGAATCATAGCTTTCAAAGCTATCTAAAATGCATTTATGTGCAGTTTTAATGTCTAAGAGACTCAATTTTCTAACACAAAATATAAAAATAAGCTTTTTCTAAAGCAACAAAGTGTTTACATGGTGACTTGTTTTCACTTAATCCTCTGCTCTCTATCCAGTTTGTCTCAAAATCTTTTTATTCAAGATGATAAACAAAATATACATTTATAATGGCATTCATATGTGCAAATAAATAAATAAAGCAATGCACCAATAAAATTGGGGAGGGGAAATAGTACAAATAAACAAAGAGGGGTCTTTTCATATATCTTCCAATAACAGTCCCTTATAATCCCAGCAAATCTGCAGAACTTTTTTACTCTTTCAATGATGGAAAATAGTTGCAAACAAATCTTTAAATCCAGAGAAATAAGATTTTCTTTTTGGAACCTCTTATATTTGTACGGGATGACAGTTTTAATGTATAAATGATTCCCAAGAACGTCTCAGCTTGAGAAAATACTCATCCAGTAACACTGTTTTTTATTCAGTGTAGGCAATGACTTTAAGAGTAAAAACCTATTTTGTCTCATAAGTTATGGCTCAACTAGTATTCACATATTTGCATTTAGAGTGTTTGTCTCAGCTGTTGTGATTAGGATCAATGCAACGTGAACCAGTGGTGAAATCCGCTATTAGTTATATTATTGCATCAACCACTGTTATAAACACTTGATAACTGATAGAACAGCATAACTCTGTATTTAAGACAGTATTTAATATAGTGACCAAATCAGTGAAAAAGACCACAGCAGACATTATGAGGAAAACTCCAATGATGGATTTTTATTGAGTGAGACCGAGAGAATTATAGGGGACACTAAGTACTTTTTCACAGATGAATTTTCAGTGTTAAAAAAACTCCAAAAAACGCTTAAATTTTTTTTTCTTTGAATCCTGTAATTTCAAAAAAGTCCTCTATAATAACAGAAGGGTTTTTCTGGCCTCCTAACAAAGCTCAGTTACCTGTTTCAACAAATTGCAAAGGTGGTATGATTCTTAAAAACGCCAGGAGTCACCATCTAATGCTGAACCTGGAATGTAAGCAGTCTTTAGTTGTTTTCTTTCTTGTCTTCTACATTTGTTGAACTCATTCCTCTTTCTTAAAGACAATCCATTACATTTAAAAGAAAAATAAAACAAACCCCGTACAGAAATGTTACAGACTCCAGAGCAACATCACAAGCACTAACGGACATACAGACTGAGAGCCTCCTCCCACCTCCCACTCCAAAACCAAGCTACAGACCATCCGCTTAAAAAAAAGAAAAAGAATTAAAATCAGAAAATCAACAAAACGAAAGAAAGACGCCGCCTTTTTTCACATCTCTCGTGTTGTAAACACCTAATACAGCCGCGGCCGAACACAAGACTTGTTTAGTCAGCTTTGTTTTTTGTGCTAAAAACCTGAACCAGTATTTACAAATTCGCTGATAAAAATATTCTTCTGGTGTTGATGGGCAGAGAGGAGGTTGTTGAGAGAGCTGGAGAGGGAGAGAAAACTGGGAAAGAGAGGAAGATAAAAGAAAGGAAAGGGGGAAAGAGAAAGAATGGACGGATGGATGGACAGGCGTAGTGCTACTCTGTCTTCGGGTCCTCCTTCTCGGGCTCTCCCTCTTCTTCTGGAGTTTTCTCAACCTGTGAAATAAAAGGGACAAACCAATGAGAATCAAGCAGGATTGCCTTTGCACCAATCAGAATCATTCTTTACAGATAGATTTGGAAAATTCACTTTAGTTTAGGCTATCAATGTCTTCATTTTAGGGAATTAATTGAACTATGTTACTTAGTATTTTTAAAATGTTATTAGGAAGAATTAAAAAGCTTATTTTTTTCTATTTATATATTTCTTTCAAGGGACTAGCCAAGTAAAGGTTGTTTAACAGTGATAGTAATAAAGTGTAAGTATGATTTGAGGTAGACCGATGTGTGTGTGTGTGTGTGTGTGTATGTATTATATATTTACCTCGTTGGTCTTAGTCTCGCCATTTTCTGATTGATTCTCCTCCTTGGATTCATCAGCCTTTGCCTTTGCTTTCTTCTCTTCCTTTTTATCGTTCACTTCCTTCTCCTTCTGTCAGAGAGAGGAAAAGACAGGGCAAAAGAATGACTGTAGAGCAATCCATATGAGACAAACCGAATCATGGAAACAAGTGACACAGAGTATCAGTAAAAGTGTGTTTATTAAAAGTGTAAAAGTACCTTGGGAGTTTTTTTCGGTTTGGGTTCAGGTTTTGGAGGGTTTGGTTTCTGAAGGGAAAAGAAAATATATGATTCATTCACAAACTTACTGTTTGATAAGAAAAATGCACACCTAAACAATGAACATATGAATAGTTAAAATAGAGCACAATATGGTCTTTGTTGTTCTGCCCTATCCTGAATTTTACAGATCATCTTAACGGAAACGTCTGGCAAGACAGTGCTAATAATTTCCGAAACTATGTTTAAAGTTCCTGAAGACATTTGAGGACTTCTTAAAAATAAAATAATTATATAAATGGTAACATTAAAAATCTCTTTAAAAAAGAAAACAACTTACCGCCGATAATCTAGCAGACCTTCTCTGAGGCTACAAAAGGGAGAAAGAAAAAAAATCTATTTATTTGAGGGCAGGTAAGAGAGAACAGATACTTACTGTAATAAAGCCTATTTAAAAAAATCTTGTTCTTTTCCATTTCACCTTCTTGTGTACCAAGCAAGCTTATACTTTAAACTCAGCACAGTTTAAAGTACTACATAAAGGCTATTATTGGCTCTTATGACAAATTGTTTGTGGTGTTTCTCGTTTGTAATTCGATTTAGTAATTGTAATTCAAGAAGTGCCAGCTAAATAAATAAGTGTAAATGTAGATATATATAGGCTAAGTAATGCATTTGTAATGATTGTGATTACTTAAATTTGCAACACAAAATTGCTTTAGATATTCTTAGAATATTCTTTCAGTACCTCCTCCTTGACTTCTCCATCAGTTCCCTGCAAATGAACAAAACAAATATCATAAGTAAAAACATGGTCTATAATTGTATTAACATAAATGGCGGGAAACCCAAAAAGGCAACTTGTAGAAACATTGGGATCTGCGACTCTGCATGTTTGTAAATGTGAGCAACATGCTGGGGTGGCAGAAAAACGTGTGTGGTTAGCTCTATTAAAGTTCAAATATCTTTTATCAGAGAGGCTTTGCGTATAAGTGTATTTGTCAGCGGACGGCAGTGCAAAATGGTGAGCCGATTTTTTATTTATCATTTTTCCCGGAGACATTTCACTTCACAGGCTCCAGACATTTGAATAAGGAGGAGGGGCGCGATTATCCCGCCTCAACGCTGACACCTGGCGGCAAGCAGGCGTTATGACACTCCTCTTCCATGGCGAACAAAGAAAATGCGTTAAAACTGTTTAAAAACGCGAGCGCCTTTTCGCAAAATTGCCCCCATTCAGAAAATTAGAGTTATCCAGCTATTTTTTAATCCCCATTTTACAGCGCCTGAGCCACGATTACGCTTATAATCGTCGGTTTTCGCGTCGCGCTGTGTTGGAGATGGAGAGAGAGAGAGGGCAGCATGGCTGCGGTTCCACGGGCATGAGATCAAGCCGAGCTTCAGCACAGCTCTGCTCCACTAAAACCCTCCTGCTGAACGCACCACCGTCGACTAAAACACCGCGATCCGGCAGAAAAAATCGCAAAATTAACAACGATTTTTTATCTGCCCACTGATTCTAAAGAAGTCGCCTGGATTTTTATTAAAAAAACATTGTCTCGAGGGCTTCCTAATTTCACGACTGATTAGTAAGGGCAAAAGTGTAGCCGTGCGCCGCGCTCGGCTTTTCTACATACCTTTCTCTTGGGCATGTTGAGTTTGGGATATTTTTCTTCTTTTATGCAAAACTAACAGGTTATCTTTTGTGATTCGTAGTTCACAGTTCAGGAGACTGTCGTCCGCTATGCACTAATTCTGTAGTAAACACAGGGCTACATTAGAGAGCCAGTGGTTGAATGGGAGGGTGGGGGCGGGGCCATGTTGTGACTGATGTTCCGCTTGTCCAATCAGCGGGCGTCTGGGTCCGCCACAGAAGAGGCAGATTCTTACCTCCGCTGTGCTTTTACGCGCGAAATCCTGAGGTGTAAATCCAACGGCGGACCTTCCTGTTCAATTTCCCTCCCAACCTGTTAAAATATAGTTTGATGTGAGTGCGTTCTGCACCAAATAATGCTCTGCCATACAGTATTGATGTGAAAAGGAGCTCACGTTTAACCCGAGGAATAAAGACCCTCTTGTGTGTCTGTAGCCTATGCTATAGCTGCATCTGTGAAGTTTTTTAAAGCAGATGAGCAGCTTACCTTAGTTATGAGCTCTTTCTATGAAAACGTTCCTAAGTGCAAATATAATGAAACATGAAATTGCAATCACTGTGCGCACATGTGGCAATCTATAATAGAGAAGAGGAGCCACAAGACTTTTCTCACTTCTGCTTTGTTCGAGCAGAGGCCTAATCTGTGTAAGTGTTTGGGTGTGTGTGTGATCTATAACTGCTTACTTCCTCTGCTGCTACCCAGATCTGAGACGCCAGCTCAGAGAAAACATCTCAGACATAGATATATAGACAGACAGAAGGATATATAGATGAGAGAACTATCTGAAAGTGACACTAGATTGGACATTACTGAGCATTATTGTCACTCTTGAGATTTCTGTTTCTGCAACCATACAAAAAGGCATAGGCCTACCACTCTAAAACTTTTGGTAAGTTTCTTATATCTATTCTTAATAAATAGATAGTTGTGACTAGGCTATAATGATCTGCTTTTGTTTTCTTAACTGGTTGTCTAAAGGGTTTTGTTTAAAATCAGAGTAATCTATATTCTGAAAGGATTTTTATTCATTTTAGATTTTATTAAAGAAATTATTAATGAAGGAAGGAAGGAAGTGCAGTCATGCACTATAATCATTCAGTCCTTTTTAATTCCTCATTTCAGTTTGATTTCATTCATGCTATTTTTAATGTTTGATTTTGCCCTCTTATGTATGATTACTCTGTTTTTGTATTTGATTAAGTTTCTTCTTGAGTAAATAATAAAATGTATATTCACTGGAGCTCGATCTGTGTGTGTGTGTGTGTGTGTGTGTGTGTGTGTGTGTGTGTGTGTGTGTGTGTGTGTGCGCGCAGGGGGCTATCATGCTCGGAGAAGCTTTCCTTCTTGTTCTGAACTGCACAGAAGACACCACGAAACATGATGGACGCTCTCACACACTCTCATCCACCCTCACGACCTGTCCCGACCCCTGCATGACACACGCCACTGCCAGATCACCTCTGACACCACGAACTGTGAGAGGTGAGAGACCACAGAATTCCGGGTTATTAGGATGAGGTTGTGTTAAAAATAACATAAAGTCATGATCTAACTGATGGCATTAGGAGATGAACAATGAAGCAATATCACTTATAGACTATGAATGTGGCCCAGGTCCTGGGAACAGTCAATAAATGTAAAAATAAAATTCAGGAAGGAAGTGTGGTGCTGCTGAGAATTTGAACCCACAAACTGAAAAGCCACTTAAATGCAGGTGTTACATTTGAGCATGTGGTTAAAAGGATAGTTCACCCAAAAATGAAAATTCTGCCATAATTTATGCACTCTCATGTCGTTACAAAGCTGTATGATTTTAATTCTTCTGCAGAACACAGAAGAATATATTTTGAAGAATGTTTCAACTGTTTATATGTCCATACAATGAAAAACCAAAACAACTTTAATTTTATGGAAAAAAAATGCCTACAGGTTTTTGACATGAGGGTGAGTAAACGATGACATTTAAAATATATATAATTTGGAGTGAACTATGTATTTAAAGTCACCATGAAATCAAAATTGACAATGGCCCCTTTTCACGGACTTTGATGACACGTTTCGACAGTTATCAACATTGCAAATCTAGTAAAGTTTTGAATATTTTCATTATTATTATTTACACATTTATAACGCTATACTTTGAGTGACAGTACCTTGCAGTAAATGACAAAAAAACGAATTAACGCTGCAATGCTGTTTCTTATACAACTGCTGAGGGAGTGATGGTAAATTGGACATCTTTTTCTCTTCTGACTGCTGTAATCTATCTATGTATTTTTTTCCCTCTTTTGGAAAGTTGTGGAAACACTATAACAATTTTTTTCTTTTGCTTTTAGAGCAAATGCAAAAATTATATTTGCTGTCATCTCCCATTCACTGCTATAGAAGTTTACCCAACTATGCTGACTTCCGCTTCTGAGAACCCTGGAAATGTGAAAAGGGTCCATTCTTATTTTTAATGAAATATTGCAGTGTTAATTATAAATTATTTATCCATGCATTTTTTAAAAATTCATATGCCCTCATAATCTTTAGCCCCATAAACTTTAACTTCCCCTCCTCATCGCGACAATTCCCTTCCAGCAACCTGTCACTCACAAACAACAACAATCTAATCAATTTGAGATTGTTATTTAAAAAAAAAAAAAGTTGTTTTCTTATTCAAGAACCTGTCACTCATATATACAGCACAATAGAGAATACAATATGATCGTAATTTCAGTTAAGTGCCAAATATAATAGAATAAACCAACTAAATTCCAAGTCCATTTTAGCTAATATTTCAATTCAGTTGAGTGGCTCTGCAGCTACAATACATAAAAAGGAAAATTAAGAAAAATCCAAATACTTCCTCATTTTGGTGAGTACCCATGTGCATTGCACAAAAGCGGCATTTGTATGGAGACATTCAAACTGTCATACAGTGTATCAAGTGAGCTCCAAACTCTGGGCTTTTCTACAAATGTCCACATTTTTTGGCTATTTGTTTTGTGCTATGTTAAGATGAGGCTGGTTATAGCGGTGCCTAAAACATTCTCTCTTCATGTCAGCTGGCAGGCCCGAAGGCCTGGAAAAGCCAAGGCAGTGCCGGTCCTCTGCACCCAGCAACGCTATGCCCATTCTCAGCTGTAGCAGGGAGGAACACTTGGGCATGACTCTATATTGCTCCTGGTGCTGTCCCAGCTTCTACAAGGACTATCCAGACCTCCGGCTCGCAGGTGACCGGCTGGAGCACTGGAGTCCTCATAACCCAGACCGGCTCAACCCACCGGACGACGGACCACTGCTTCAATCTCAGGACTTGATCTCTCTGGAGCCTTCTTTGGAGCCAAGTCAACAAGCAGTGGGTGTAAGCCAGCAGGACGAGGGGTATCTTGTCATGAAGAGTGTTCAGAGCCCAGGCTGGGAGAGAAGGCTCACCAACTCCATGTTGAACGGCTATCTGGAGGTCCAAATGCTGGAGGTGTTTTGTCAGCATATGCAAAACATGGCGTGCTGCGGATCTTCATTGCTGGGCGCTGACGTCATGCCGGCACTGGTGCCCACCAGCCTGACTGTAGCCAAAGAACAGACAGCCAGTCAGGAAGAAGAGCTGGGTTCTTCATCCAATAATGTTGTGCGATACTTGAGCACTTGCTCAGCTCCAGCCACCTCCCACTTCAGCTCACCTGTGCTGCGAATTTCAGAAGATGAGTAGCCACACTTATAAACACACTCCTGCCCTAATAAAACTTCCTGTCTTTTGACCAACACACACATTTTTTAAAGATATCTGTGTTGTTAAAGGAATGTTCTGCGTTCAGTACCCACATCATTTGTGGCATGTTGATTACCAGAGATTTGTTTTGACTCATGCCAGGATTTTTGTAAAGCAAAAATAATGAACATTAACATACACAATGTTTCAAAAGTATAGACCTTATGTAGCCCCGCCCCTTTTCAGCGTTGCGCTCGTTGTGTTCTCGCTTTTCTGGTTTGTATTTCCACAGTATGAAGGTAAGATCTTATGGATTTATGAATGAACCGCTCGTTTTAAATTCTTCCCGGTCTACTGACATTTGTCATGACATCCACTTCAAACATTACAATGCTCATGATAACTTTTGTTAACTCTACAATTAGGTAAATCCATGTCACAAGCTTATTACTCTCCAAGAGCGATGCTATAGAAATATGAGCTAGTGCAAAAACGGAAGTTCAAAGACAAAATTCTAAAGATGGCTGCACGCTTGTTTCTCTGTATACATGTTATCATAGGGTGTGATAACTTGTGCACTTGTCTATGTAAAGTTACACTACTGTTCAAATGTTTGGGGTCAGTATTAAAAAAAAAAAGAAGTCTCTTATGCTCACAATGAAGGCTGTATTTATTCAATCAAAAATACAGTAAAAAACACAATATTGTGAAATATTGTATTGTAAAATGTAATTTATTTAATTTATTATTTCATGTAATTTACAGCCTCATTTCTCCAGTCTTCAGTGTCACATGATCCTTCAGAAATCATTCTAATATGCTAATTTGGTTCTCAAGAAACATTATTAGCAATTCTGAAAAACTACTATGAAAAAACTCTGAAAACTGTGATATAATTTGGTTTTAGGATTTTTTGATAAATAGAAAGATCGAAAGAACAGCATTTATTTGAAATGGAAATCTTTTGTCAAATTATAAATGTCTTTACTGTCACTTTTGACGAATTGAATGCATCCTTGCTGAATAAAAGTGTTAATTCCTTCTTTTTTTTTTTTAAACCTGACCCTTAACTTTTGGACAGTAGCTTACTTCTAAATTGTATACCTGCTATCTAGCATGATATACCCAAGCAATGTGACACAACTATCTGTAATGCCTTGTGTTAACATGGAGCAAACTCCATCCCAAGGAGTATGAATTTGGCTATGTTACAGATAGAATAGTGAATGATGAATGTTTTTTTTTTTTATCATATGAGTGCTTTAACAAACATGAGTCTCACATTTCTATATTTAGACTTTCCAGATTGCTGAACTCTTTACTTCCATTGTAAATACTAAATTGCCTACGTAATTATTACTGTAGCTGCAATTTGTGCTTTTTTATTTAAAAACAAAAAAAAAAACTACTGAGGGACAGTTCTGTTATAATGTTTAAAATGTTTTTTCTGTTATAATAAACATTCTGCCACAAACTCTGTCAATAGAGCTTAACTTTTGTTTAACTCAGAACATTCCTTTAATTTACATTTTCATTAATGCTAATTCATCCTTTCCAGACCTCACAGACTGACAAATTGTGACCAACTGCAAATCCCTCAGAAAACCCACAAACAAGTCCAATGTCATAGCAGAGTGCCTCTTTTCTTTTTACTCATCCACAATCCTCCCCTCTCCTTTGCACTTCCATTGTAAGCTTCCATCAACATGGTTTAGAAGAAGAGGAACCAAAGTCATGCTGTCATGTGTATGCTGCGTAATGACATCTATAAATGTTACCACTTCCTACTAAACAGCCAATCAAATGTTGTTTATCTCCATCAGTCCTGCTGCTAAATGCTACTTTCACTTTCCTTGTAATCATAATAAAGCGGTAATAATGAATTTAAACTTTATTAGCTTATGTCCTCGGTTCTATATATAGTGCCATGATTCAGTTAAATCAATTCATTTTTCCATTAGATGTTTTGGTAATGTTTCAATAATGTGAAACTGGTGTAATAAGTGTTTTTAAATACTGCCACCTGCTGTTCTTACTGTAAAATGACACCCAGGCGCAGAGAACTAATGCTGATACTGTGCTCGCGCCCTCTGCTGGGAGCGTTCGGAACGGCGGCCAATGTCACCATCAAGGGTTATGTCATACTGGCCATGGCATTGTCCTTCACCCAGAGCTGTGAGACCTCAACTGTTGTATTACATCGATGTTTACAGCTAAAATACACGCATTACATTAATATATGCTATATTAAGAATTTCATTTCATTTTATTGTAGTAATGAATGGAAATAGCTTATATGCCTTTGCTGACATGATGTTTTGACGTCACTCTGACGTCACATCCAGGGAGGGTGCAGACATAACTGTTAATTGGCCATAAGTAATGTGTGTTTGTGTGCATGCTGATATCCTGGCACCGGTACACAGGAGCCAAACTCACAGCATCATCAACAGGATTAACTGTTAACTGTGATCTGTAAATGTGTTTGCATGTGTGTGTGTGTTAATCTGATCTGTGCCAACACGGCTACTTCACACTCTTGTAGCTGCTCTGTGGGCATTTAAACGGGCTCTTTAGCCTGGCACCATGTCGCAAACCATAATACCAGATGGACCGCTCTCTCTCCACTAGTCCTGGAAGTTGCCCAGGCCAAAATAACATTTAATCTAGTTCCTTGCCATATTTTGATGTCCTGTGGTGGGACAGGAATGTAAATGCATACGAGTCAATGATGTGATGCTAATTTATGTGCTGGATCTGTAAAGTATTAAGGAAAATACATAAATGGTAAATGAATGCAATTTATAGAGTCAAATACACCTTTTGAGATGTTTGTGCATGTTTTGAATTTCTGAACTAAAATTAATTTTAAAGTAAAAAAAATATATACAGTGGTGTAACTGGAAATAAAAGGATGAAATAAAAATGTAATATATATATATATATATAATAGGCTATATATATTTATGTAAATAGAAACGTATGTACAAAACAACAATCAAAACCTAATACAATGATTATACATTTCTTAGTGGAATGTTTTTTTTAAAGGATTTTCCCTTTTTATCATCTCGCACATTCTTGTTTGTTAGCATACTGTCCCACAGCCGGAGACCCATGCACCCCCAATCTGTTTAGTCTTTCTGTGCATTTGCGATCATTTGAGCAGCACAGACTTGTGTTCTCTGTCTATTTTATCGGGTGACCCGGTTTCCCAGGTTCGGTCGGTTGCGGTTACCTCACTCTGCTGAGCAGCTATTGGTTTAGCTGGCGCACACTCCGACTTTTGCCATACGAGTGATATTGGGCTGCGGTGACGTAAGCGAACGGGCGCGCAGAAATTTTCCAGACGCGGACGGAGGAGCGAGCTCGTGTAGACCCGAAACGGTCCAACCGAGAGAGAGAGAGAGAGAGAGAGAGAGAGAGAGACGCATACAAGCACACATACCAAGTAGCCGTTTACAAGGCACTCGGTTGCGTCTCGCGCTCAGTATCGGACCCAGTGGAGCTGTTCAGCATTTATCGGTAGTGTCACCGAACAGTCCCCACGCTCACGGAACCGCTGACCCATGTGATACTGCAGCGTTGCGAGCGCGGATGGGAGGGGGCGAGAGACACATCCACCCCTGATCTCCACACATCATCCCCCCCCCCCCCCCCCCCCCCCCGCATCTCCACTCGATAGACTGAAGAGAAGCAGGTGCACACTTGGGAGAGAGAGAGAGAGAGAGAGAGAGAGAGAGAGAGAGAGAGAGAGAGAGAGAGCGCGCGCTGGAGGGGGGGCGGGGTAGAGTCGCGCGCGTGGATCTCTCCGTCGCAGTCCTCCGCGAGGATGTATCCAACAGCAAGACTCCTGCCGCGCGCGCGCTGCCGTCAATGTAACGGAATCACATGTGCCCCTGTGATCTAACGGCGGTTCTGATCTGTTTCTCTGGGTTCGGATGGTCCGCGCGCTCCATACACAATTCAACCGGGAAATCAACGCACACCAGCCATGGCGCTGGTCATGGAACCCATCAGCAAATGGTCCCCAAAGCAGGTGCTGGACTGGATGAAAGGTAAAAAAAAAAAAAAACATTTGTCCCCCCGCAGTACCTCTGCATGACCTATAGCCGGTGGGAGAGGAATGGGTGAGCGGGAAGAGCGTCTCGGCTGCATGCGGGCTGTGCTCGTCTCTGCCTGTGCCGTGCAGTGAGGTATTGATCGAGCTTGTGTGCCATTTTGCGCCTTTGCTCGGCGCACCATGGTGTGTGTGATCTGCACAGCGCTACACGCGTCGCGCAATAGGGGGTGTGCGTGTGGTCTGGGGATGCGTGATGTGTATGTGTGTCTGTGTGCGCGCGCTCGCTGTTTTGCAAGTAGATTAGCAAAAACGGTTATGACAAAGGGCGACATGGCGTTTTCATACAGTACCTAAATATACACATACGTGCATGTGCACACACACACACACACACACACAGAGAGAGAGAGAGAGAGAGAGAGAGAGAGAGAGAGAGAGAGAGAGAGAGAGAGAGAGAGAGAGAGAGAGAGAGAGAGAGAGAGAGAGAGAGAGAGACAGTGCTGTTTCCAGCCTCAGTGAATAAATCTCCCTCTCGCGCAGTGATAACTAGCACCATGGACAGATCCAGGCCGTCGCGCGCTGTGCTGCGCTGCAGATGCGCGTAATCTAGGGACTAGAAGAGGGATGACGGTATCTGTGGAACCAGCTGAGGCTTGACAGTCCCCCCCCATGACAAACATTTACTCCTTTAAACTAATTAGTATCTATTTTTATGTCACTAGTACTTGGGGTTTAATTACCATAAGTAATCCATTTGTAGCCTATCATTTTCAATTGTCTAGATTCGTGTGCTTACAGTGACTAGTAGCCTATATTAACTTTGTCACAGTACATACTAGTTCTTATTTATTTGCTTCTAGTCACTATCCTAATATGGACATGTATCTATTCCATTGTTACTGGAAACAGATTGTATATTCAATGCTTCAATTATGTTACTTCTACCTACTGTATAACTATTTATTAGCCTATGTACTAGTTGACCTATTTATTTATTTTGTACTTCTAACAATCATAATAGTTATCATAATAGTGTCAATTTCAGCTTCACTTGTACTTATTTTATTTATTAGATAGACCTTTTTAGACAGAGATTATTGTGTCTATCCCAATTGTACAGTAACATAAAAATAGATGGTATTTATTTTTTAGGAAAACTAGGTAACCCATCCAGAAGGAAGCAGGAGAGTAGGCTATCCGAATGCTGCTTGCCGATAGTTGAAGGCACACCATGCAGGTTTCGTCATGCAGTTATAGCTCAGGGATGTGGACTTGGCCTTTCCTTTTGGGGAAAAACTGATGGCATTTTCAAAAAGCTATGCAATCTGACATGACAATTGGTATCTGATTGGAAATAATTTTCCATTAATGACATGCTCTTCTTTAGATGACATGCAAAGACACACTGATGGATGATGCACAGACGATATAAGTAGAACACAATGGAGCAGCTGTGGTGGAGAGACATAGGGCCGAAATACCAGCAAGATCAGATGCAATCTGAAGTGAAGTTTAAGGGCATTAGTGCACATGACATTCAGCTGCTCATAATCTCTACACATGAGCATTTCAAAGGTCAGATAGCCTTTGCCACCAATCTAATAATGGACAAGTGTACACAGGTGAATCAATAATGGTTGTGATCTGTATGTCCAAAACACCCATACTTTAATGAAATTCTTAAGCCAATTATATGTCCCTCAGGTCTCTCCTGTATCTATTAATGTACAGTGCCCTCCACTAGTATTGGCATCCTTGGTAAATATGAGCAAAGGCTGCTGTGAAAATAAATCTGCATTGTTTATCCTTTTGATCTTTCATTAAAAAAATTCACAAAATTCTAACCTTTCATTTAAGTTAAATAATTGAAAGTGGGGGGAAACTGACATTATGAAATCAATGTTTTTCTCCAATTCATGTTGGCCACAATTATTGGCACCCCTAGATATTCTTATGAGTAAAATATCTCTGAAGTATATTCCCATTCATATTCCCATTTTCTTAGCACACCAGGGTGACTAGGAGCATGAAATTGTCCAGCCAAGACCTCCTGTTCCACTGGAGTATAAATATGAGGAAACACAAAGGCCAAATTCCCTTAATCATCCATCACAATGAGTAAAACCAAAAAATACAGTTCTGATGTGCAGCAAAAGATTGTTGAGCTGTAAGAAAATAGCTAAAGCATTGAAAATCCCCATTTCCACCATCAGGGCAATAATTAAGAAGTCCCAATCAACTAAAGATGGTATGAATCTGCCTGAAAGAGGACGTGTGTCTATATCGTCCTAATGCACGGCGAGGAGGAAAGTTTGAGTGGCCAAAGACTCTCCAAGGATCACAGATGGAGAATTGCAGAGATTAGTTGAGGCTTGGGGTCAGAAAGCCTAAAATGTTTTATTTGAGCACAAAATGAAGCTTCTGCCATGACCATCCCAGTTCTCTGACCTGAACCCTATAGAAAATGAGTGTGCTGAACTGAAGAGAAGAAGCACCAACTTGGAGCTGGGAATCTGAAGGATCTGGAGAGATTCTGTATGAAAGAATGGTCTCTGATCTCTTGTCAGGTGTTCTCCAAACTCATATTTACCAAGGGTGCCAATATTAGTGGAGGGCACTATACTTAGGCAAAAAATGCCCCCATAGTTGATCCATTTCACTAGTCCATAGGCTTCTTCAGGGATTGAACTTGCCGGCCGCGAAAAGTTATTAAAGACATCGTTAAAATAGTCCAAGTGACTACAGTGGCTCAATCTTAAGTTTATCAAGCGACGAGAATACTTTTTGTGCGCAAAAACAAACAAAAATAACGACTTTATTTCAACTATTCATTTCTTTCTCTTTGGGCCTCTAGTCAGTTAACGTAGTGTGATTCCGTAGAGCTACGTCACACGTAGGCTCACTATTGGCCGACGCTGGTCATGTGCGTGATGCGTGTGACGTACAACGTAGGCTCACTATTGGCCGACGCTGGTCATGTGCGTGATGCGTGTGACGTACAACAACAGAAGCTTACGCTATTACACTAGTGAACTGACTCGAGGCCCACAGAGAAGGAAATGAATAGTTGAAATAAAGTCGTTATTTTTGTTTTTTTTGCGCACAAAAAGTATTCTCGTCGCTTGATAAACTTAAGATTGAGCCACTGTAGTCACTTGGACTATTTTAACGATGTCTTTAATAACTTTTCGAGGCCGGCAAGTTCAATCCCTGAAGAAGCCTATGGACTAGTATGGAGGAGTGATCCAGCTCTCAGATTTCATCAAAAATATCTTAATTCGTGTTCCGAAGATGAACGAAGGTCTTACGGGGTTGGAACAACATGAGGGTGAGTAATTACTGACAGAATTTTCATTTTTGGGCGAACTAACCCTTTAACTCTTAATTGTAACATTTCTGTAAAGCTCCTTTGAATCTATATGTATTGTGAAAATTGCTATAACTGAACTGAATTGAATTCTCCCCTGTGCAGGATCACTGATTAGTTCTGTATTTTAGAGAACTAGGTTTCACGGCCAGTTGTGCAGGATGGTTTCCATTTTCAGGAACCCTGTTCACTGTCTCAGATGCAACTGCAAACTATAGCTGCTTGTGCATAATCTTCACAATTACTGCTGACAAAGAGTTTGTCAGACCTTAGAGCACCTGATCCTGGGTCATTTTGCTGGTATTGATGCTTTCTATTGCTTTGCATCACATTTTCATAGAGATTCTGCACTATAGAAAACATCTCTCAGTGTGATTGTTTTGTGTTTATTGTTTACTGTTTATTTCCTAAATTGTAGTCTTGGAGCAACTGCCATTGCCATATTTCTGTTATATGTGTATTTCATTGGTTTTCTTACACTTGGCAGAAGTGTAAATAGAAAAAAACTTGCATGCAGAGATGTGGCATGTGCTGATGGTGTCTAGGGATAATCTGCCGCCTCTAACATTACAGACATCTTGTAATATAAAACTCTGCTGCATGCCCAGTTTTGACCTTTACAGCTTACATTTGAAAAATCATCATGCAGGTTGACATATGATAGGATCTTATACCCAAGATGACAGTTAGGACTGTGGATATGCATTTGGTTCAGCAGTTATTGTTAAAGGGTTAGTTCACCCAAAAATTATTCTGTCATGTTGTTTCAAACCCGTAAGACTTTCTTTCATCTTCGGAACACAAATGAAGATCTTTCTGATGAAATCTGAAAGCTTTCTGTCCCTCCATTGACAGCTACACAACTGACAGTTTGACGCTTCAAAAAGTTCATAAAGAGATCGTAAAACTAATCCATTTGAATTGAGCGGTTTAGTCAAAAGATTTCTGAAGAGACACAATCACTTTATATGATGAAGAAATTTCATTTAGGCTTTCAGGCGTGGGAAACGGAAGCTCAAGCATGTTTGCATGACGTGCAAGAACCAATGAGGTTCATTCTCGTGTTACGCAGCCCGTTTGAGCTTCCGCAAGAACCAATGAGGTTCATTCTCATGTTACGCAGCACGTTTGAGCTTCCGCAAGAACCAATGAGGTTCATTCTCGTGTTACGCAGCACGTTTGAGCTTCCGCAAGAACCAATGAGGTTCATTCTCGTGTTACGCAGCACGTTTGAGCTTCCGCAAGAACCAATGAGGTTCATTCTCGTGGGTCAAGCAGGTTCAGTTGAGCTTCTGTTTATGTTCGCTGATCAATGTTTATATGTGAATAAAACCGGTCAATTCAAATGGATTAGTTTTACGATCTCTTTATGAGCTTTTTGAAGTGTCAAAGTGTCAGTTGTGTAGCTGTCAATGGAGGCACAGAAAGCTCTCAGATTTCATCAAAAAGATCTTCATTTGTGTTCCGAAGATGAACGAGTCTTACGGGTTTGGAACAACATGAGGGTGAGTAAATGATGATAGAATTCTCATTTTTGGGTGAACTATCCCTTTAAGGTTATCCATATAGTTGTAGTTACGGTATGGTATTGATATTTCAGTCCTTTCAAATGTGTTCCGTTTAACAGA